CCAAGTTTTATTGCTGAGCATAAGGTTGTAAGGTATGGGATATCTCTTTATCCAGTTTGGGTCAACTGTCCTGGCTGTGTCTCCTTCCAATCTTTTTCCTACCCCACCAGCAGGGAGAGAAGAAGCAGGGTAAGGAACAGATAAAACCTTGAAGCTGTGCAAGCACTGCTCAGCAATAGCCAAAACACCAGTGTGTTATTAACACTGGTTTAGTCACAAATCCAAAATATAGTGCCATACAGCTACGGAGAAAGTTAAATCTATCCCAGCCAGACCCAGCACAATTTCCTACCAAAACAGCTGTCCTTTAGTGCCCCATACTTGTCCTCACTCCTTCCTTTAATCACCATGCACTCCTCTCACTCCCTTTCAGCACAGCAGTATCTATTTGCCTTTTTATGCCACTTGCCCTTATACCTCCAGACCTACATAGCTGGTCATCTCCTTCTATCCCAACTTTGGTTTATTGATCTACTTGCATAATGCTTCCATTACCTGATCATACCTCACTTTCTGCCTTATGTTCTACCCTGCATGCATAGCAGTGGTGGTGGTTGTTGCTGCCCACTCCAGCTTGCTCACCATTAGCTCTGTCACCAATCATTTCCACTTCTCTGCATGTATTTTCTCTCTCCTGCTGCCTGCTCCCAGTCCAGAAGGACTTTCTGTTGCATCTTGTGGAGACCCATCCTTTCACTCTCCTTCACATTGTGTGTTCATTATCCTCCCCACCTCTCATGGCTGAGCCAACACTGCTGTCCTGTTAGCCACCTGTTCCTTAGGGCCCCTTTGCCACCTCTGTTGCACCCTCCTGCATCACATCATTGTCTTTCCAACTTCTGACTTGCTTCACAGCTTTGTCTTTATCAGATAGTCCTGCCTCAGTCATCACTCTAGCCTGCACATAACTGCCTCTTGCCACAGCCATCCCTATAGCCTGCTCTCTTGCCTTATTGACTGTTAAATACGCCACCAGTCAGAGGCATTTCTCCTCACTATTATGCTTGTTTTAGGTTATTCCAGATACCAAAATAACCATTTGTACTCTGTTGGTATTTTTACTCTTCTGTCCCAATTTTTCCATCCCCTTTCACTTGCTCTCAAAGATGAGTTCCCTCTCCCTCCCCTTGCTGTCCCTTGTCCCTCATTCAGCTGCAGACTCCCATTGATCTCTGCTGATGTGCCATCACATACCTGATTCACAACTCTAGCCTCTTCTCACAGCTCTGCTTCCTCTAAGTGCTCACTTACTGCCCCATCACCCAAACACCACCAAGCCTCTCCATGTCACTGTTTGCTGTACTATGGTTGCCACTCAGGCCTCCCTTCTCAGACCTGCTAGCCAGCCATCCCAATGCTGCTGTTCTCTTTCGCATGTAGTTGCCTGTCTTGGTCTCCCTGCCATCATACTCCTCCTGTTTACCAACTCCTCTCCAGTTCACAGCTGTTTTCCACTATTGCTTTTTTCTGTTATTAGTACTTCTGCCAGCCATAGCTGTGTCTCCTCTGCAGCCCACTGCTACTCCATTCATGACCTGCATTTGCTGTCCCCCTTCCTTTAGTGATCTCTCTGCTGTACTCACCAATGCCCCTCAAACCTCCCACCCCATTGACAAGATGCTGTCACTCCTCTCCTTATAGCTGGGTTTATTTCCTGCCTACCCATTTCTCCTCAACAGCCCCTGGGTGTTTCTGCACCACAGCCATTACTTGACTCCCTCCTTATCTGCTGCTTTGCCTCCTGCTCTGGTATTCCAGCTCTTCAAGTCTTCATCACTGCCTGCTTCATTTGCTTCTCCCACCCCTATCCTGCCCCACCTACTCTTGCCACCTTCTCTCACAGGCTCTTTTCTTTCTTTTAGCCTTACAGCCTCACCAGCACTCCTCAGAGCCCAGCTTACCTCCTGTCTGTATCACTTCCCAGGCTGTGGGGGCTCTCACAGTCCCTTACCATTAGCATTTTGTCTTTATAAGCTCCCCAGCCATGTAACCTTCATGCCTGCTCAGGACATCACCTGCCTTCTTTTCATCCTTCCTTGCCAAATCTGCAGTGCCTCCCCTCTCGCCCCACTTACCTCCTTCCACCAGCTGCCTGTGATGACTGATGATTTTCTCAGCTGTTGCATTTACCACTTTCCCATGACATCCCTCCTTTCCTCACTGTCCTCTTTGCTGCCAACACCACCTCCTATATATTCCATGCCTGCTATTTCCCACAGAGCTGCTCCTTACCATCTACCTCTCAACTACAGCTCTCCACTGCTGTCCCATTTACTACTAGTAGTTCTTTCATCTTCCTCATTTACTGCTTCTTCTAAGAGGAAGGGATCTTTTAGGTACATATTAATCTCCAAGCTTGGATTTTTCCTTTGCTCTTCTTTACCACCTTGTTTCCCACTTTTTCTCATTGCTTCTCTTTTTGACACCATGCTATGCTTGTTCCCATCACTCTCTTTTCCCCTTTCTATTGCTCTATTTATCATCTGGCATCACACCTATTTGTGGCTTCACATACCTGTTCATAACCTTGGCCAGTTGCAAGGTTATTCAGCCATTAGCCTTGCTGCCACTTCATGCTTCACCTTCTCACCCCATTTGCTAATCCTTCCCCAAGATAATCATCTTGTGCACCTCCTCTTCCTCCTTGTCCCTTCACTACACTTATTTTGCACCTCCAAAGGAAAATTGCAGCCAAGCCACAATCTGCTTACAGACAGTTGTGTCACCATCCCCTCCTTCACTGCCCATATTCATTGTGACTTGGTACTGCTGCCTTCCTAGCATTGCTATCTCTGTCTGTGGCAGCATCCCTACCCTGCTGCCCATTGAAGTCCTACGTGCACAAAGCACAATTCTGGAAGTACCCATACAATTTATTTTCTCAATTTCCTCATTTGTAACAAGGCTCTTAGGCTCTCAGCAGCTCAGGTTTCACTGCCAGGCAATGAAAAACCAGCTACAAAATACCCTGTGGCTGGATTTTCAAAGTTATTCAAGCATGCATGAAACGGCCTCAGGGGCCCAGCTCAATTTTCAATCACCTGTGGGCCACCTAAGTTGGCTTCTTGTAATTTCTCTAGGCTGGTCTTGTTAAAGGCCTAAACACATACGAAAATTTGGCCACAGATTACATTTGAGACTGAAGGAAAAGAGGAGAATAGTCTGGGTTTCTAAACAACATGAATGCTTTTGAAAAATGCACCACTGGCTTCTTAACCCTAAAATAACTAATTATTGGACTAATAAGTTGATTATAGAAGAAGAGAAACATGACATTTAAGAGCTAAGTTTTATTAGTGAAGGTGTGAGTTTTCCTAAAGCATTCGGGTCATTGCTGTCTCCCACACACACTGCTGAAATGGGCTAAGCTCAAAAGTAATGTTGCACAAAAGATAACCAGGGGGTAGATTACAGTGTTACATTAAAAACCTATGGTACTCGGAAGGATCTATTATTTATTTATGTGTCTACAGGAAAAGGAAAACTAAAAATCAGAGGCCAAGCCAGAGTGAACAAGAATTGTTTGAATGAGCTACACAGCTACAATGTAACACTGCAAGATTTTTCATCCACAAAAGAACAGTCTTTGTATTAAGTATGCCTATTTGTAGCATTTTTGCTGTAAAAGCTTAATATCCATTTTTCCATGTGATGTATTCCTCCAGGGGACAAAAAGAGGGACCAACCAAATGGTAAACATCCAGGCAGCTGGATAAGAACTACATTATTTTGGCTGTAGGAATAAACGGAGGGAGGTTGAGGACAGGCCAGGGGATTATCAATTAAACATATACCACCTTTCTGGTACCAATCTTAAGGCCTGCATAAGGCTTTTCTTGAGAAATGATCCAGGTTTACAACATGCCCTTCAGATTGAAAGGCTCAGAGAAATATTAATGAGACAAAGTCCACAAAGCTACAAGAAGTTCTTGTTCAATAGTACCAAACTATAGCTGCTTTATTAATGCTCTCTGTGGTGGGTTGACCTTAGTTGGATGCCAGGTGCCCAGCAAGCTGGTACATCACTCCTCTCCTCAGCAGGATAGGGGCCAGGGCAAGGGGGGAGAGATGAAGAGAAAATAAGATGGAAAACAAACCTTGTGTCAAGGTAAAGAAGTAAAGATAGTTTAATAAGGCAAAAACAAAGACTGTAAGGAAGCAAGGAAAATAAAAGATTTATTGTCTACTTTCTATCAGCAAGGGACATGGAATACAGTATGGAATATTGGCCAGTTTGGTTCAGCTGTTCTGCCTCTGTCCCCTCCTAAAATCTTGCGCACACCAAGCCTATAGGGGAACACTGGAGAGAAAGCCTTGACACTATGCAAGCGATGTTCAGCAGTACCCAAAACAGTGGTGTGCTATTAACACCTTTCTGTCGACCAATGCAAAGTACAGCACATGAGGGCTGCTATGGGGAAAATGCACTCCATCTCAGCTAGACCCAATACATCCTCTTGCTGGGACCACACTATAAAAGAACACTGATATTTAAAGAAAGAAAAAGGTCTAGTGTCTTTCTCAGACCTATGGTACATAACAACAGTGATGTGATCTTACACAGATATGAATAGACCCAAATAATTCTCATCTGTCTGTATTTATTAAAGTCCATCTGGCAGGCTTAGCTTGGATTCCTCTATAGCAAATAGTATAATTCAAGGATGAATGGTTTGGGACTCTACTTAATAGACAGATCTGGATTGCCCTGTGGATGGTCTGCTGTTCTCCAAAAGACAGTACTTGTACTTCTACTTCTCACCTTTATTGGCAATATTCACATAAGGAAGACTTAATAATAGAAGGCAAAAAATCTGAGAGGGTAAACTCTTATAGTAAGCAGTGATCCAAAAGCAATTGCAGCTCTTCTTCCAGCTAATTCTACTTAAGGACTGCCATTTCCTCAGTCTCTCCTGGCTGCTAAGCTATTACAGAAATATAATGATGTGCAAATGAGGAGGAAAAGTGTGAAAAAGGACAATAAAAAAGAGGACACACACCTGTATTAGCAGAATCTTGCTTTGACTATTAACACATCACTTGTAGCTCTGTCAAATTCCAATGCAGGGGTCTTCTCTCTTCATGGTACCTGAAACAGCCCCAAATTAATTAATCGTTGCTCTCCCACTGGATGAGTGAAAGAATTAAGCATACTTTTTTAACAAGCTCAATTTCACTGGGCTATGCAGCTTGTTTTTCTTTCTAGTACTATCTTCAGCTGAAAGTCTGCATCTAAATAAAACTCCACAGTCTGAACCTAAAATGGAAAATGCTGCTCTTTGTATTGATAGTTTCTCCCAATTTAAATACGCTATAGCTGACATAAATAGGAATAGTTTACAGAGATAGCTGTAAATGAGTTGTCACTTTGCAGACACTGCTGGTGTACAGCCTTTGAACCCAGCCTAACAATAAGCAGAGCTCCAGAAGTACGCACAAAACTGAAAATAGATCAACCCTACCATAAACACAATAGGTCATTGCCCCAGGTGGCTGATCCTTGGAAGGCTGGTGAAGGTGCAACAAGTGATCAGAATTACTGAGCCACTGAATTATTGTGCAGTTTCAGAAACGCAACGTACATTAGTGCAGTTTATGTGGTGTTTTAAAGGCTTTTGATACAGATAGAGCGCAATGGGCATATCTCCTCAGCAAGGAGCTGGCAGTTCTGAAAACCAAAATGCTCTCAGGCTAATTAAGAAAGATGATTTATTTGCCTGAGCTTTTCCATTCAATAGAAGCTTTGTGCTGAGTTTATTTTCTATGCAATATTAGCACTATTTGATTTTTCCCATTCAATCTTTACCAGCAGAAACAATTTTAAGAAACACCAGAAATCCTGTATTAAAAAAAAACACCTCCAATCTCTGTTTCTCCCTTCTGGGATTAAGTTTTTAGGACTTGCAGTTATTATTTTATTTTATGAAATAAGAATAAAACCAACCTGATGCTTATCCAGCCATCTGGCATAAAAAATAAACTGCAGTTAGAAAGGTCATAGAGACTCTGGGGCTTGAGCACAGAACATTCAGAATATCAAATATGTAAAAATCCAGAATCTTATCAACTGCAAATAGGATAAGATACTCCCCTACACCACCATTATACTGCTGGATTTAATCTGGCTATCGTAGTTTAAAGTATTTTTCTCAAAGTAACAATACAGACAGTATTTAAGACCAAAACTTGAAGCATTTCTCTTAGATCTGTAAATGTAAGGAACCTTTTGTCCACCCTCATATACGTATTAACATATTATTAATGATTATATTTATTATTATGGGCAACAGATTACCTCAACCATTCAGACACTGTGTAAAATGTATCAGTATCTTTCGAAGATAGGAAGCACTCCAACATCTAACATCAATATAGAAAAAGCTGAAACAAGTGGTTTCAGACAGTGGTGAACCAGACCTGAAACATTCCTAAATACAATTTAGTGATATTACATATATATTGAATAGGCATAACATTTTGTGTGGATGCATTTATGTGAAATACAATTTGAACTCCGCTTGCCTTTAGAATCATCTGCCCTCTAATGTATGAAAGACATTTTCAGGTTCTTTAATGTCCTTTAGGAAAAGATAAATCCCCAATCTGCTTTTACTCCATGCCATGCACTACGAAGTGGGCACTTATTATTGGTCAAATTCAACCATATGAAAGAGATCTAAGTCCTACACCCCAGTTAACATCAGTTTTGAGTGGTCTTGAACAGGACCACTTGTGCTGATCCTCTCCTGTGCAGACCTCTCTTTATGGGGTTGAAAAGAAGCCAGTTGTCAGTTGATGAAAGTCAGTAATTCTGAGGCAATTATGGTATTCCCCCATAATTCATAACTCCCAGTAATGCAGCATTATGCCACCACCTGTAATGAATGCTCAGAGGAACGCAGAGCTACTTCAGCCACTCCAGCCAATGAGTTAGGCTTTGTTCAGAGCTCTGCTCAGATGCCTCTATACTAACACCAGTAGTATGGGGAATAAAGAAGAGGAATTGGAAATGTGTGCACATCCACTGCGATATATCATTGGCATCACAGAAACATGGTGGGATGGCTCTTGTAACTGGAGTGTTAGAATGGAAGGTTATAAGCTCTTTAGGAAAGACAGTCTGGGCAGATGGGGAGGGGTGTAGCTATTTATGTCAATGATAGGCTGTAGAATATGGAACTCTGTCTGGGGACAGCTGATGGGCCAATAGAGAGCTTATGGTTCTAGGTTAAAGGAGGAGCTGTGATGTGGGACATTACTGCGGGGATCTGTTACAGGCCACCCAATCAGGACTCAGCGGATGAAGCTCTCTATAGGCAGATATGAGCAGCCCCACACTCGCAGGCCCTTGTCCTCATAGGGGACTTCAACCACCCCAATATCTGTTGGAGGACTGTACAGCCTGGCACAAGCAACCCAGGAGACTCCTTTGTTGTGTGGAGAACAACTTCTTGCAAGTAAAGAGAGGAACTGACAAGGGGAGGTGCTATGCTTGACCTCATGCTCACCAACAGAGAGGGGCTGCAAGCTCTGGGGGAGAAGCTCCTTTACAAGAGCTGCATCAGTGACCTCTGCACAGGACCAGCATGGGGGCTGACGTTTATGCTGCCCTTTATACCTAAATGGAAATATTAGAGTTTTGAGGACATCTGAAAAAAGACATGCGTTTGTGCTTTATTCTCTATTACCGATACAGGCTACAGTTAGGAAAACTGGAGATTATACACAATGTAAGAAGAGCTGTATGGAATATGATGTCACGTCACCTACTAACAGTTCCTTTGCTCAGTGCTTTTAGCTGAGACTGCTAACATCAACTAAGTTTGGAAGTGAAGGACACTACTAGGATAATCTAATCTGATCTGTTGAGTCACAGACTGCAGACACTTGTCCAGTAATTCTTCTACCAAGTCCACAACATTTCCTTGCACTAAGGTATACTTGCTTAATATTTCAAATATTGCCTCTAAAGCTACAGAAAATGACCCAGCAAGAACAGGGAGCTAAACAACATTTACTTTGCCATTTTTCTGCCTTTTATCATTATTATATCTCACCTTTTTGAAATGGGAAATAGAGTTAGAAGGTAGATTAAGTGATTTTTCTGAAGGTCACAGTATTTATGAACAAACCACAAAATGAGACGACGTTTTCCACAATCTGTCTTGACACACAGTACTATTTCTTGGAATAAATACAAGGCAGATTGTCTTCTGTGCTTTAAGATCAAGCAGCATTCCTATCATTCAAAATAGCTCAAAACAGTAACAATAGCCACTCAACATAGTCAAAGTCCTTTCTGAGTCACAAACGACAAAACAAGTACCTTTGTGAGCAGCATGGGCAGTCTCCATTCATCATAGATAACAGGTTATCTGAATATTCCACCCTTACTATACAGGCTGGCTCATTTTTAGTGGCAGACCGCACATTAATCTTCATTCTTTCAGGCAGTGTATATTTTAATAACTCTTAAAGGGAAATCTGACAATAGGAGTCCCTGCTATGCACACATCTATATCCACATACAACAACTGATTAGAAACCTCATTCAGATAATTGAATGAACTTCTCCAATTTTCAGGTGAGGCTTTTTGCATGATTTCTGGTTGAACACCCTTTCATGAACCTCAAACTTGGTAGTGAGACCGGGATTGCAACATGCACATTACAATTATATATTAATATATGTATCTATAAAATAGCTAAATAATGCTTTATTTTTGCAGTGCTGTAACACTACATGATTACAGTAATATAATAAGAATCTCATAAAAATTACAATAATGCAAGTAAATATGATTTAGTGTGGAATCAGGAGTTTCAACATTCACCCACTCCAAGCATGCATTTTTCTTTCAACAAAACAGTGTGTTGAGATGGCAAATAGCACCAGTGATGGTTTTATCCATCCTGAAAGCTGTATCTATATGTTTGAAAGCAAACGGACTGATCAGGCACCCTGTCACTTGCACAGGCTTTTCAGAGACCTTCCTGCTTCTAGAATTTTAGCAAACTTCCTAAAAGTTTTATTAAGCCTTAAATATTTCCAGCCTCCATTTGAGACTCCCTCCTCAGATACAATTATATCTTTTGACATAAATGGCAGTTTCATGTTTGAAAATATGATTGTATTCACTCTGTATTGTGAGGTGACATGACACAATAGGTATTGAAATCCTAAAAGACACATTTCATAGATCTAGGATCTCTTATCACATACCTTTTCAGTTCTTATTTGACAAATGGCTTGCAGATGAGCTCTCCTGAGGAGATAAGCCAGAATCTTTTTATCAGTTCCACTGCCTTTTATAAAGGTTCTTTTTGCTAATTTTCTTTATTATGTGCCTTTTTTTCCTCTCAACAGTTTATTAAGCTTTAGCTTTACATTAAAAAGCATTCAGTAATACTTTGTACTTCAGGTAGTCTGAAGAGCTTCCATTTCCCTCATCCCCCCCCTTGGTTCTTTAAGAGAAGTAATTATTTCAAAATATTTTTCATGTAATCTCCTAGGCACATCAAGCACCATCTTCCAAATTATCTCATTGGCTACATTTTTAGTGACGATTTTCATCTTTTTAATGAGGGAAATGCATCACATGCTTACTCACAGTCTCCAAGACACCTCAGGGAAGGCCATGAACTGCTGCTGTTAGTGATAACCTCATGCACTTTTCAGGAATTTATTTTTCATAGAATGGTTTGGGGTGGAAGGGACCTTAAAGCTCATCCAGTTCCAACCCCCTGCCACAGGCAGGGACACCTTCCACTAGAGCAGGTTGCTCCAAACCTTGTCCAACCTGGCCTTGAACACTGCCAGGGATGGGGCAGCCACAGCTTCTCTGGGCACTCTGTGACAGCACCTCAGCACCCTCACAGGGAAGAACTTGTTCCTAATGTTTAATCTAAATGTCCCCTCTGTCAGGTTAAAGCCATTCCCCCCTTGTCCCGTCCCTACAGGCCCTTGTCCAAAGCCCCACTGCAGGTTTCCTGTAGCCCTTTAAGACTCTAGGGCTGCTCTAAGGTCTTCCCAGAACCTTCTCTTCCCCAGGCTGAACCAGCCCAGCTCTCTCAGCCTTACTCCAGAGA